GCCCACACGCGTGCCCTTATTTACTTATGTGTTAATTGCCTGAGGAATTTCCTACAAGTCTATCACCCTTGCTACCGTGTTGACACTGTCGATACAAATTTTCATTGCTTCAAATTTTTTGTCGCAGGACTTATTTGCCAACCTAATAGTTATTCTAACGACGTCTTACCATTCCCATTGGGAAAAGTGTGAAAAAAAGGCGACACGACGACCGAAGCTGTTCACATCCGCGCCGCACTGGGTTATGAGGTCGCTAGACTGGGACGAGAGGGGCATTGTGTGGCTGGACGCTTCCTCTAAAATCTCACTTTTGCAGACGACATTGTTCTCTTTCCAAGCAGCGTTGCGAAAGCTGAGACAATGCTAGCAGGACTCAGAGGAGCTGGAAAGAAGGCTGAACTGCGGATCAACCAGACAAAGACACAATTCGTGAAGAATGATCGGGCAGGCCGCGGGCTTTCCATGAACATGGACAACGACATGTAGTAGGAAGAACTGACAAGGCGGCAGAATGCAGAGTGGGCGACGTTCTAACGAGTGGAAAAAGTTTGATCATCTGACTAATTCAGAGCTTCGCTATAGTCTGTTCGATTCTTCCCGCGTTGTGTTACGCGTCGAAGCCATGAGTTACAGTGCTTCCACGTCAAGGGCATCAAGCGTGGGTTACAGAGCACTCGAGCGAAGTCTTTTGAGATTCAACCGGCTCACTCAATCTCGAGCCGGACTATGCAGCTCTGATATGCGCAAAATGCCTCGCTGCTTTCTTCCCCCTTTAATACATGGAAAATTCCAGATTTCGATGGGCCGGTCATATCATGAGAAGGAATGATGGCAGACAAGAAGAACGGTTGACTGGGCCATTGTGGGAGGGTTGGTGCAGTAGGAACGACATTATCGCGTCGCGGCGAGAGAGACGTAGCACGCGAAGGAATGTAGCAGGGTGCGGCAAATCGATTACACAGAACCGTTCCTACTGCCCGTCATCCCATGTGGGATTTTCCCATGTGGGATTTTAAGAGAAGGATTGCTACAAGATGGGCGGTGCGCGATCGATCAAGCCAATCAGTCTTAAATGCAGCTGAACTCCTGCTCACATCGACGTCTTCGTCAAATTCTGAGTGAACCGTGGATGGCGGACAACAGAAGAGGATGACTTTTTGTTGGTGCTTGCACATGAAGACGAGGCGTATAAGAGGGTCATGCTAACGCATTTCGGACAGAACTACTGCTTGGATCAGTAGTTCGTAGTATTGAATCTATGAATTTTACTGCTATAATCAAGCTCGCGTAATATCACCAACCCCAGCGTTCTGCGCACAATACGGTACTGTCAATGTTATTTACAAAATTTTGAGATGCTGCTGCTCATACTCCTTCAGGGCAGCGATGTCCTCATTCTCTTCAGTATTTGTCGACATCCCAGTCATTCACACTATCCAAAAACTTACAAGGTGCACCATATTTCATTGAAGTTGAAGGCTGTAACATACCCGTCGTCTGTATAGGTTCCACCTGCCGAAGATACTTCCCCGCTCGACGATGGTACAGTGGATTGTGGTTTCGAGCTATTCGTTTTGTTCTTAAAGAAAAGGTACACGTCGAGCCAGATTTTTTCATGAATGCAGGATAGTAACCCCTGCAGGAGTAGAG